ACCCCCTACATTTGCGTGGCGACAAACCCAGCCACAAATAACGGGAATGGGAAATACTTATGAATACATTGGTTTTTTTAGAGACTTCCATGCCAGTCTGTCTAGACAAATCGACTAAAAGTATTTATTACTATCCCCTTCTGGAAGACAACACACGCTTCAGAAGAGGGTCATGTGAGTTTTAGCCCTCTAGCGGCCTCTAAACGAGAAATAATGTATTTAAATACTGTTTGCTATTCCTTACTATTTATACAAGCAATAGATTTCTGAAGTATAATTGATCCTGAGATCATCCCTGTCACGGCATTAAGAAGGCAGACATTCTAAGCTTGGCTGCAAAAACCTGCACTTAAGTTTCATCATCATAACGTGCAGTTGTCTTCGTTATTATAATAAAACTTGCTACCTCGTGCTCTCCGTGGGGAGAACACTGTGCCAGTGGTTGCATTCACAGTTGCAAGGTAACGAACAGTTCCCTGCGTCAAAGCAAGCCGTGCAGCTTTCAGGCACCTGTACAGGACGTGCCCGGAAGGTAAACGCGGGCAGGAATCTCTTTTCCTCCGCACTTCGGTGCGTGGGCCTGTTTGCTGGGCAGCCTAGGCGGGGCTTGGGCGTGCTGCGCTGCCGGGCTTTTGCTGCTGCAGATATTGTGAGAAATTTAGAAGGGAGGGAGCTGGTGGTTCGGGTCAGGAAGCACATGGGTATTTTTTCTCTTGGAGGCTGAGGATTCACTGTTGGCTACAGGGCAAATACCTCTACCTGTAAGGCAGATTAAAAAAAATTACGTGAAAACAATGGTCTACGTTAGTTCATGCGGAGAGTTTAGGATGCACACATCTGGAGCAATTAGGATCTTCTCAGGCAATCTGGAATATCTGTGCAGGATGCCGCCATAATGGCAGTGCAGTAACGAGGGTGCCACAGTATTTTTTTTAATATATCTACGTTACACATTTGCTCAGCTTGAGGTCCAGTGTGTGGTCGCTGTTGCCAAAGCCTGCCTGTCCGTTAGCTTTACATTCCCAGCAGTGTCGTTCCTGGTATGGTTCTGCTTTCCATGACAGGATTTCCTGGAAGAGTATCAAAGCCATCTTAGCTCTGATCATTTGTTTGGCAGCCAGCTGGCTGCCAAAGTACCCACTCCCTCCATCAGATTTCAATCACCCGGCATGCAGCATGTCACCAGCTTCTCCTGCTCTGTAATCGGGAGCTTGACAAATGCAGCTTTTTGAAAAAGACATCACCGTGCTATGAGCAAACAATATTGGAGCAGAAAAATCAAATAAACCAGAGAGTGGTTCAGGCTTCCAAATTTATTCCCATTTCCTAATCTTGACCAAGCAGCAACCAAGCATTTACCTTGTGACCTTTTTTGCCACCACAAAATACCATTTTGAACTGACTTTGCAAATATAAACTCACTTTATTAAATGACAGACAAAACCAAGAAATTGAAGTGGAAAATGCTCCTTATTTGGGAAAGACCTAAAAATGACCGTGATTCTTTTCTGGAGCTATGAACACTCTGTGTGTGTCCCCCTGAACATCCTTAATTCAACCTCCTTAGCCTGAACCTAAGGATACTTCCATGCAGGATTCATCCAGGACTGTCAGGATTCCTGTGTATGGCTCTGGTTTGGCACAGCTGCTTCCTTTTAATTCTCGCGTGTCTCAGTGTGGTATCTTGATCTGCGCTGGGGATCAGTGCTGCAAGCAGGCATATGTGGCTTCTCCTCACTGTAATGTTCAATCTCAAACGCCAAAGGGAGAGGGAGGGGGGCAAAACCCCAAGCTTGTGTACGCAACATAAAGCAGAAGAACCAGATTCTGCTGAAGTCGTGGTTCGTTTGTTTTCTTGACAAAGTTTTCTAAAATCTCTGCCTCAAAGCCTACATTTCTGAAATGAACAGTTAGGCAGAAAGCAGATGGTTACAGCAGGTCTACAGGAGCCACAGGTGTGTGGGTTGTCACATGAGGGGCATAGCTCGTGCAGGTGACACTAGTCACCCACCTGGGAGGTGGCTCTAAGACACTGAGCACATAGGGTCTGGGACATTGTTCCTGTGCTGCGTCAGGGACCAGTGATCAAGATTTCTCCAAAACAGAGGCCCTTCCCAGTGGTCCTGTAGAAAGTCAGGGACATCTGACAAGGTGAGGGTTTTTCTTCAGGTGTCAATGATGCACGATGTGCAAAGCTCCATCAGCTTTGCTTCCTGCTTTCTGCTGGTCCCTACTCCACTGCCAAGCCAAAATTGCTTTCCCCCTAGTTACCATCTGAGGACAAAGGCTGCTGAGGTGCATACAGGTTGCCTAGCAAAATCGAAATGCAGCGAGTGAAATAAGGGTAGGAGGTATTTGAAGACGATTGGTGCTGATTGCCTACTAAAGTGGGCCACAAGTGGAGAACAAGCAGAAAGGCTGATTAAAGAGGAATGGTTAGAGTGTAGGTAGAGAGTGGGTAATACTTCAGGTGGGAACTGCTCTCTGTTTAGGTGTGTGACAAAGGGCTCCCTTGGTGAACACGCTGCTTCCATGCCACTGCAGTAGCAGCACGTGCATTAGATTGCCCCTGCGAAGCACTGCGCAGTCCAATTGAAAAAGAAACCAGACTCATGAGAGTGTTTCATTAACGGTTTTGCTGCTAACCAAACCAGCCTTGGTATGATGCAGAAGTCAGTTTTGGAAAGTGTTAACCCTTTCCTCTACTGCTGTTGCATTATTTTTAAAGCACGATGCTACCCTCATACAGAAAATAATGTCTAGCTTATAATGATTTTTCTTCATATGTACAAACCCCAGTAAAAAAAGTTGAACACAATATACACACTGGGAAATATAATCCTGGAATATGTGTCAATAACATGATTGTTCTGTAAAATAATCCTGCCCACACTTCCCTTCAGAGATCTCTTCCTCTTTACGCGAGTTGTGTCCACATTGGAGACGCTGGCAGCACGTGCCCGAGTCTCGTTCTCTTCACAACGGTCTGAGAAAGGAGTCAGGTCCACGTCCACGTCTGTGTCGTGAAAGCAGCCGTCGAAAGCCATTGCTTGCACTGCATCAATACTATACATTCCTGAAGCCTGGCAACAAAGAATAGTTATTCTGCATCTAGCAGGAGCCATTTTAGTAAATTATAAATAAATAAAACAGAAAACAAAGCAAGCCTTCTCTTCAGTGTTGTTCCCTCTGTGGAGAGCATATGGAGAACAGGGCTACCTCACAGCATTGCTGTCTGTGGGGCCTGCCCCCTTGGGGAGGACGTGAGCGAGGAAGGGGATGCATGCAATAAAACACACTCATCTGACTGATCATTGCCAGCTTCTGGCTGGCGACATGTGCCCCGGCTTCTGAAACAGAAAAATTAAACTCTGCCTCTCCTGTAGGTCTGCGTTGCTGGAGTTGTGGGAAATGACTGCAAACATTCCCATGAGTAGTTTTTTGATGGGATTATCAAATCATGTGAGCAACATATGCACTGTTACTGTGTTTTTCTCTTTGTGATATTCCAACAAATGAGTTTACATGGGGGGATATTCTTGAAGCAAAGGTTTTAAGTGAGTGCTTCGTAGAAAGCCAATGTTTAACTTGTGAACACTTCTGCTTCAGGCACACTTTTCTAAAACTGACCTTGTCATTCATCTGGTCTTGGGGCAAAAAGGCATCATTAAACCCATCTTCCTAATTAAAAATGGCAAAGCAGGAAAAGGAGAAATAGACTCTGCTTCACAGGAAACAGGAGGGAATATTACATGAGTGCATTCTGGGGTATATTTCAGAGAGGAAAAATACCTTGATCAATAGGTATTTGAGAACAGAATGAAGGTTACCTTCCGGGGGGGAGGGCAGAATCAGGAGATGTACTCCCTAACCCCTGCCACAAGAAAAGGAAGGGAGAGAAAGCACAGACTTTCTCAAGATCTCAGGATGATACATTTTCTCCCTTCAGCCAAGCAAAGAAAAGAAGATAAGAGAGAAGTCACAGAGATGGTTACTGTACTGTTATCACAGTGGTGTATCAGGATTACTCTGTGGCTTCTGTGATGCTTTCTGAAGGCAACAAAACACAGAGGATTGTACCTTGCCCCTTTTTTTTAGTTGCTTTCTCTCTTCAACTGTGGTGAGATAGTTCACTGCTGCATACTCGATGACAGACAGGAAGACAAAAAGGAAGCTGATCCATAAATACACATCCACAGCCTTTATGTAAGACACTTGAGGCATTGAGGCACTTACTCCTGTCATGATGGTTGACATTGTCAGCACTGTCGTTATACCTGCCAAAGAAAAAGGAGAGGTTATCATAATACTGGCCAGCTGGTTCTGTTTAGCTCATCACTGTTGCTTGGACAGCACAGCTTTGTGAGGGCATGTGATTGACACTGCCCTTAACTTCATAGCACAGGCTCCGAAAAGTGGAGTGAACCATGAAGGACCTATCACATACAATACTGAATCCAGTAAATCATCTCTCTGCTCAGCATGTGCAGTTAGAGCTGCGGCACACCAGGTTCGAACAGCGGGGATGCAGCACTGGCGATTCATAAGCATTCAGCAGCATAAGGAACACATTTCTACGACAGCTTTAGGCACCGCTGTAGTGAAGTGAAAGCAGGTTTGTGGTCTTCCCTCGCTTCCCAGAGCCAGCATCTCCACAACACACTTTCTTGTCCCAGGGAATCACTAAAGAATGACCAATTTCCCTCCCAAACCCCCCTCAAATCGTATGTCTCTGTCATAACTCCATGGCTCTCTAAAAACACTCTAGCATAAAAATGCTATAGCCATTGAAACTAATAAATATTTTTGTTTATTTCAGTGTGTCCAGGATTTCACCCTCACCTTTTCAATCGCTCCTCTTATGTGCAGCTACTAATCTCATTTTGTTTTGCTCTGTCTCAGAAAAAAGACCCCACCAACACCCAACCCAGGCCCTGCTTTTAAAGAAATGAATGTAACAGTGGAAGTGAAGACATCTCAATAACACCTGTGAGACAGCACTGGCTGACAGCACGGCCTCTCAGCTGGGTCTCAATGTAGCCATTCTCTAGTTTTATGCTCATTCAAGCCCACTGGAACATACATAAGTTTTCCCTCTCCTTCTCTGCAAGCTCCCTTAGGTTGAAGGATGGAGTTTGAAATATACCATATAAGAGGAAATCAATTTATTTAAAATATGTATACTCTAGGCTAGGGAGCTAAGCTTTTTAAACTTTGTTGTTAACATTGCCTATAAATTATGTATGCTTATGCTAATGAAATGTGTGTTATTCATAGAACTCCTGATGCATTACCTTCTGCAGAAATCCATGTATAAATTAAAGAACATGATCAGCAAAACCATCTTGACAACATTACAAATGACCTACTCAGAATTAGAACTTTGTTTTTAAAGATGAAGTTAAATTTCTTATAAATAAAAGAAATCAGTAGATTCATTAATAAAAGTAGGTGGGAGGTACCATAATTTGGTTTTAGACTAAACAAATAGATTTATATCTCGTGTGTTAATAGCTTTTGACTGTGCCAATAGAAAGGGATGTGAGGAAGATACAGTCCTATTTTCTCTAGATTGATACAGCTGTAGGTAAAAATTGAGGGCTCCCTCAGTACATGCAAGTTTGTTTCTTAAAGATCCTCAAATTTTCACTTGTCTAAGAAATATGGCAACATATAGTTGGCTTCTGGGACTAGCATCAGTGAGAAGAAAGAACAGGAGCTTCTTTACTAATTCTCAAACTGACAGGGCTCAGATGTGTTATGGTTACATTAGATATCTTAACAAATTTCCATCACATCTTTACAGAGATGCTAATCTTTGAAAAAATATACTTATTTCAAGGCCATCAACATTAAATTCACAACAAAGGCAGTCTTGTAGTATCAACTGATTCATCACTGAGAAAAAAAATAATGTTATTAAAAACCCCACTGTAATTAGTCTTTTTCTCCTGAGCTGTGGTGTCCAGAACTAAAACTGTGACAGCAGAAAGATGCCCAACTTACTCCTCGGCTTCCTCAGAAGCCTCTGTGCCTTGCACAGTTAAGGCACCAAAGCAAACATTTTCAAGGTGCCTAACAAAGAAAGGCTTTGCTACATAGGACAAGTATGAAACTGCTTCCAAGTTGGTAGCAAGATATCAAATGTTTCTCGAGAGAAAGCAGAGCTGCAAAGCTTTTAGATAGATTGTGCTATGCCTGTTAAAGTATCTCTCACAACCATGGATTTGGGGATGGATCTGACTACCTGTTACTTTGCTGGGAAGACGGGAGGAAAAAAACAACCCAGTCCTTGAAAAAAAAAAAAAGAAAGAAACCAAAAAAACCCCACAACAAAAAAAAAAGGAATGAAGTAGAATTCTACATAGGGAAATCTGCAGAATTGTCCCTTTTTCCTTCTATGGTGTGTGAGCTGTTTTATAATATAGCAAAGCCAGTCTGAACAAACATTCTGTTTCCCAATGTAGAAGCTGTCTAAAGGAATCTGATAGTGACAACAGTGACAATAATAGCGGGATTTGAGCAATTACCTGATATACTTGCTCATGTCCTGTGTAAATAGGAAGCTAAGGTAATTTCAAAACCTCTCCCCTAACCAGTCTGTACTTCCCAAAGGAATATATATTAAAGGTTTACCTAGTGATACTCTAGCAGGAACAGCTCTTCTGTCAATCCAAAATGAAACCCAAGACAGCATCACCATCAGCATGGCTGGGAAATAGGATTGTAGCACAAAAAAGAAAATATGTCTCCGGAGCGCAAAATTTATAAAAAGTCGATTATACCAGCCTATTGAAAAAAGAGAGAGGAACAGGTTAGGGGAGAAGAGAGCTGCGTTATTTGTGAGCTCTGTTTGCTAGTCCCCTCCTTCCAGTAGGAATGGTGTATCCACATCAGGAATAGTAAATGCCTAAAAATATTGCCACCGCCTTGGTTTTATATAGTGCTTTACAAACTGACCATCATACCTCATTAAAATACTGGTGCCTTGGGAGTGAAGCATTATGACTGCCTAAATAAAATACTGTATTACAATTGAGGTTAGGAAATTGAAAAAAAACTAAATAGACTTCCAGTGAAACTGCCGGGAGAATACAGACAGAATATAATTGCCCAGTCCAGCTAGGACAGTGAAGCCAACACCCTGCCTCCCCAAAAAAGTAGCCTGCCTTCTCACTCTACAACTTTCAAGGAAAGGGTGCCATCTAGTGAATTCTGGGGCATGCTCTGTGCAGCAAATCATGTGTGCTCTACCTCCTGCGGTGGGAGGGAAAGCAGTTTATAGTGAGGTGAAAAGAAGACAAAAGTAGCTGGCTGCTCAGCATCTGCCTGTCCAGAACAAATAGGGACTTCATGAGCAGTCATGCCATCACAAACAGCGACTTTTTAATTAAAAAGAATATCTCATCAATAACCCCTTTTAATATTAAACACATTCTGTGTGTTTTCAGCTGTGTAGAAGGTTTTTGGGTTTAAAAATTATTGTCTCAAAAATGGATTTAAATTGTGGCTCCTTTGGAGGCCAGGGAACTCCAAAAGCTGGAATACTAAGCATGTGTAGTTCACTGGGATTCACAGGAAAGGATATCCTGAACCTAAAATGCATAAGGCTGCTTTGTGAGGAGCATTTTTGTCCATTTTTTGCCTGAGACTCTTCAGGGACAGGTGGCTTCCATTAGAGTTGTGCTGATTGTTCCCCACTATTACTTACTGCAGGGGGCAGAGGGGGTGTGTAATCATTTTCTTCCAACAAGAAGCAAAATAAAAGAATAAAAGAAAGTGGAACCTCCTAAGTGAAACAAAACCTCAAAGAAAAGTGTGTGTCTACAAAGGGCAGTGTTCTAACTAACAGATATGGTACACTCACTATTCAGGTACTTCCCAGTGGTCCCTGTGACTTCAAAAAGGTCTTTCCTTTCACCTTTTCTCTGCTGAGTAAGCTCATCATCAACACTTCTGCATGTAGGTGCTAAGGAATCACGCTTTGCAAAGTCAAAGGTGCTGTGAAGGTGCTGCGAAGGCCTGGCTACAGGGTGACATGAGGTTGCATTGTTGTACACAAGGCCGTATTTGCTTGTGTAAGTGATTTTTGATGAGAATAGCAAGGCAGAAAGAAGCCAGCTGAGTTCCCAGAACCCAGTTTTAACGCACAGTGATAGCAGTTTGGAGGAAAACATGCCAGTCTCCTTCTTGAAACAAGGACAAATTTGACGTAGCTCTCAGCAAGGCAGTTATGATAGTGAGGTATCACTCGCCCTCTTCTCACTTGACAGTGGCTCTTGAAAGCTGGAGCTCTGTTCTTAGCTCATACAAGAGCAAGAGATAAGGATGAAAAACCAGATCAAGCTGTGAATTCCTCACTGCTTAGGCTGCATCATAATTTAAACTGGAATTTCTGCATTCAATCTTAGCCCCTGCAAACTTGAATGGCTCTTTTTTAAATGCAAAAAGAACCTATCCTGTAAATAAAATACAGTAAATAAATGTATTTGCAGCTTTCCTGCATATCTTAAAGGCTTTTCTCCAAAGTGTTATGCATTTCATCATATTATATGGAATAATTTCTATTTTATTAATCTACCTTGATATAAAGGGCAATATCCACACTGAAATGAATTGACTCAGACTGGAAAGCACAGTAGCAAGCATGCTGTTTTATCTGGTTAAAAACATATGGTTAGACTACTTACATAGAGAAGTATTTCAAAATTTATAATTGCATGTACAAATACAAAGACCATAAACCCCACCTTGCATGAAATCAAGACTATAATAAACTCCTAAAGCCTTGTGCAGTTTGCCAGAAAGTATAGTTCAAGATCTACAGGGAGAAATAAAAACCTGTCTGGGACAGATATCTGTATTTAAACAACGTAGCACTGACATAAAGGGATTTTTTTCTGCAAATTTATGTGTAAACATGGAACATTAAGTAAACCATGAATTAGACCTCAACAGGTTATAAATGCTCTCATGTGGAAATCTTACAGTTGGTAGACTTATAATGACACTTTACAGCTCCAAAAATGAGGAGATTTTAGATGATAAAACACACCGGGGTTCCTCTTGTTTGCTTTCTAGTACTTGACCCTTTGGGGTTTGCATTTTCAAGCTTTTCTATATAACCAGGACCCAAAGATTCCTGTAAACCCAATATTCCAGTGGCTTTCAGAGAAGCACCACAATTTTGCAAGAGCTCACAACAGCATATATTTGGTTAATGTGCATTTTTTTTTCAGGTTCTTTTTGTCAGATGTTAAGTTACAAGTACTCCTATGGCCTCTTCTTCTAATATCAAGAAAGTGTTACATTGGTAATGTAAAGAGAATGAGGACCTAGGCGGACAGACCAGTGTGATTGACTGACCTCATTTTAACTGAGATCTCTCAGCAGTAACAGTCACTTATTAGCAACAAATTTAAATGTGAAAGACATTCTGCATGATAGCGTCCCGTGCTTCTCTCTTTTAATGACGGGGGCTTACTATACCAGTACTGCTGTAAAAAGCTAGTCCACTGGAAGCACTGAATTCTTCGATGAAAAACTGGGAGAGGGAGATGTGCTCATCTGTGCTCAGGGACTTGTTTCCATGTTTCCAGTATAACATCAGATCATCTTCATTGTATGCATCTATGAGAAAGTAAAAGCTAAGTCACCTCTTCTGCTGGAATAATGCTTCTGTTTTCTTTTTTTAGGGATAGGAGACCATTCAAACAATTTGGGAAAACCCCAAAGAAACCTTTTTTTTTCACATCAATTTGCCAGTTACTTGACATGGAAAAATTTGCAAAGACCATATTCTAAGTGGAGCCCAGTCCTGTGCCCTGCCAGCAGCTTACCTGACAGATGGGGGACATGGGCACACTCAGGGTCACAAGGCACACAGGATCAGAGCTCTGGAGCTGCCACCCTGAGCGGACTGCCCAAACACTGGGGATCTGTTCTCTTTTCCAAGACTAAACAATAAGCCAGCATCCCAGTTTTACTCATAATCCAAATAAGAATAAATTTTGAGATATCAAAAGGCTCTGCAAAACAGAATTACCTTTTGTTCTCCTGCTGCACAGCTTACTACAGACAACTGAGTCAGTGGCAAAAAAGCAGACATTTCACAGTAGGACAAGCACTCATTTTCATTTTTCCATGAGGTCAAATATTGACATCTTATTTTGCCTTTAACTCACACTTCTTTCTCAGAAAAAAACATGATTTTTGACCAAGGAAACATTTTTAGATTTAGGACTGGGAATATCAACCCAGTCAAAACAAAGCAGGGTGCATCATGTTTTTTCTATCTTCCCAAAGCTCACTGAGTTCTGGGAACATCCCAAACTGGCCAAAGTTTAATATGTACAGGTTGAAGGGTTCAGGTCATGCATCAAAATAATTGAAAAAGGTGTTATGAACAAGATGGAGTGCTGGTAAGAATGCACATGCGAAGAACCAATATGAATTAAACTTACAGCTTTCCAGTTCTAAAGAACAGTTCTGAGTGTCCAGAGGAAACCTACTGAAATCCATGAAACACATAGCAGAAACTGTTATTCTGCAGAAAGGAACAGAAAAACAGAAATTAAATTAAAAATTTCACAATTTCTTAGGGTTGTGCAGATATCTTCATAAGATCCCCAACCATTTGGCTGTTTAGAATCCTAAGGATTGAGTCTTTCTACTTTTTTTAGACACCTCAAGATAGTGAGGAAAAACTAAATCAGTGAGGGAACCATATTTTTTAAACATAAATAGTCTTTCTTATTAAGTACATTACCTCCAATTTTTAAACCCTTTACTGGCCTGATCCTTCATTTTGCTTTGAAGGGTTACACTTACGAAGATTAACAAGGAGGGTTCACATTTCTTGAGTGGATTTCTCATAGACTGAAGTAGATGTTATTACAGATTAGAGCAAATATTATTCCAACTGCTGTTTTCCCAGCTAGAATGGTTATAATATTTAGTTGCATAAAAAGATAAGCTTCAATTTCTGGAAGCCTACTTTCCTCTTCAACACCATGGAAATGCCTTATACTCTAAAAAGCTTAAGGAAATCTAGGAAAAGACATTATTGTGCATTCCACCTGCTTTTTCACAAATGTTTAGAAGGTAAATTTAACCTGGCCACTGCTGTAAGGGATAATAAGAAGAGTTTTTATAAATATGTTAACAGCAAGAAGAGAGCCAGGGAGAACCTCCATTCTCTAGAGGATGCAAGGGGGAACATTGTCACTAAAGACGAGGAAAACGCTGAGTTACTCAATGCCTTCTTTGCCTCGGTCTTTAATGGCCCGATGAGTTATCCCCAGGGTACCCAGCCT